TCTCGCCACAGGTTACACATGGCTGTTTTGAAACGCCTCCTACCTTGCTCTCAGCTCTCAGATGGCCTTGCAGCCCTGGCCTGGTCAGTCAGTGCACTGCATTTCCCGGGGCGAGACCACCAGTTCCAGGAGGGATGCAGGACCTGCGAAGCCTTTTGCTGCAGGGGATTGGGCCAGCGTGTCCTCCCTGCYAGGCTTGACCTTGGGAGGCTGGGGGGCTGTTGCTGCTGTGATGGGCATGGAACTGTCTGCAAAGGCACAGAGAGAGGGTGGGGCGGGGTGGYGGTGTGGGGTGTGTGTGTGGAGGGGAAACACGCCCTATGCCCCTGGAGCAAGCCGCATTAGAAGCCTCTTTCTTCTTCTACAGGTTGGGCCACTTTGAGTTATGTTGTCATGTACAACAAAAGGGGACCTGATTAATATGTCAGGAAATGGAGTTAAGTGTCTTTAGTCAGAGGAGCCACAGTCCAAAAACAACAGTCACTGGGCCTCTGATGCCTATGGCCCTCCTCATCCAGACCGTACCCTCCTGGATCTCAGCCTTCTTCCTTGGGAGCCTGGCTTCTCAGAGAAGGCGGCTGTCCATCAGGGGTACAACCTGCTAGTGCCAAATTCGGAAACGAAATCGTGGGGTTAGGGCGTGGTGGAGGGGCTCTGGGGTTCCTGCACCAGCCCTGCCCAGGCCTTTGCAGGAAGACTGGTCTCTGCTTCCGCAAGGGGCTGTCCCAACAGCCCCCTTGGCCAATTCTTAGAGAAGCCCAGGTCCCCTGGGCATGGCCTTCAGGGTTGTCCTTATCCTGTCTCTATCCCACCTTCCCTTGATTGCACTTCTGTGCCTGGGGTGGGGTTGGGGGTTCCTTGCCAGAGTACAAAAGTGCGGGGGAATTAGCCCCCTTCCTCCCAGCAGTCTCCCACCAGTGGGTGTACCAAGGTTCCATCTTTCCTCCTGGGGTTGGATTACTCTGTCATTGTAGTCCAYCACCTTCCAAGGTGGCCCCAGTGGCCACTAAACCCAGGAGTGACCGTTCTCCCTTCTCTCTTGATGTCCCCTTTCCTACTGGTGTTTGCTGGGATCATGCTGAACTGAGACTTCTACCTGGCTGCTCAGGAGCTAGATGTGGCAGCCCCTGGGCACTGGCCAAGACTAACCACAAGGTAGCTTCTGGGCTGCCCCCATCGCAGGGCAGCCATTGCCTAGAGAGCGCACTGTGGGGCCAGGGCCTCTGTCCTGAAGGCCTGGAAATGTGCCCGTCGGTTCTTCCACGCCCACTGCTGGATTCCCACCCAGTGGAAGTGCAGCTGGCGGGTTATATAGGCTTTATAATTCCTGCTTTTTGAGTGGGAACAGCTCAAACAGTTTGTTCTGTTGTGTGTGCACAGAGGAAGTGCTCCACCTGGGCCTGTGGTTTACATGTGGCTCAGAAAGTCCCCAAGGCCCCCGCACTTACCTCCCTGCCCATTTGTATCTCTGAATAAAACAGACTAAAGACACAAGATTATTTTTCCCTTTTTTTTTTTCTTTTTTGCTCTTTTTGGTGACAAGTGAGATCCTTTGATGGAAACTGGATCTGTAAGAAAAAAAATAATAATAAGGACAGAGCCGTTGGCTCAGACGATTCCCAATTCTCTGTGAGCGGGAATCTGGTGCCTCTCCAGTTTTACACTCTCGGGGGTGAGGGCTGAGCAGCTAAGATCCTTTTACRGAAAAATACGTTACTCAGGATTTCAATTTCTTCCATTCATGATGTTGTGTCCTTTCAGCCCCCAAGAGCCACATGGAGACGGCGTCTTCCTTGAGGCTGTGACACTTTCACAAAGCTCCTGGCATCTACTGGACCTGACTCAATGTCACCATGTGCTGTCTCCCCCTCCTTCCTCGAGGGCCCCCACAAACTCAAGAAGAGGGCACCGATGCTCTCCCTACCTACTGATGAGGAGACCGAGACTCTTAACCTGCTGTGGCATTGCCTAAAGCTTAAGGTGCTTCTAATACTATTCCATGAATGTCCCTGGGACYGGTAGCAGGAGCCCTTGAGAGGGTGCTGAGCTCCCACTGGGCTTTATCTCCTTGGCTCTGAGATGTCTTGAGCATATACTCCCAACATCATGCATGACTATGGCCAGTACCTGTCCACTCTGTGAGCAGTGGAAGCCTGGGGGTGGGCTGAAATGCCTCTCATGACCCCTGCACTGTCACCTCCCAGGAATCTGGCCACGGGCATCACAGTGGATGCTCTTGGTGCCTCACCCAGCCCCTTTTCTGGGCTGGTGCCTCTGGAGCGGAGAATTGGGAATTTGGGCTGTTAATGGCTCAGAGCTGCCCGCTTTTCCAGGGATTGCCCTCAGCCAAAAGGGAGCTGCCTTTTCCACAAAAGACACACTCCTGCCCTCCAGCCCTCTAGACTGACGGACACAGGGGCACCAGAGGTGCAGCTCTGGGGTGTAGCTCCTGGTCGGTGCTGCCTGGGTCTGGCTGCGGCCTCACCTCTCCRTGCTCAGCACCTTCTCTGCCCTTTCTGGCCCCCTCACTGCCCTCTCCCGGCAGCAAGTCACCTTCACCCCAGTCCTCGCCTCAGGCTCTGCTCCTAGGGAGCCCTCCRAGACAGGGGAGGATGGACGGACAGTGGCTGTGGAAGGCCTGCTCCCGGCCCCAGAGGATCCTGCCATATAGTCGCCTCAGTCTCCTTTTGCCCTAGTCTCCCAAACTGCTGGGACCACAGGCGTGCACCACCATGCCTGGTTGTTTTGATGATCTTAACAATGGTCTTGTCATGATCTGAGGGCATCCAGGGCTTCCCGAGAGCCGTGCCAGCTCACCCTGAGGCCAGAAATGAGTCACTCACTCTCAAGCTTTCCCTGAGAGGTGGGGGACATGTCCACCTGCAGACACGTCCATTCACAGAAGGGACAGGGGCTCTTCATACCTGCCGGACCTTGGGCTGGGGGCTTGTTCACAGGGATTCAATGATGTAGTAGGCAGCTCCCAGGGCCCCCAGAGCCACAGCAACAGACCCAAGTGCTTGGAGCTCTGGAGTTATGCCGAGATGAGCGTTTTCTTGAATATCTGGAAAGCAAAGCAGGTAGTGGGGGTTTGGGAAGAGGGCTTCCCAGTGTCTGCAGCAGGAGGAAATGGCCACAATGGGGTTCCTTCCTTGAGGATGGGTGGACTGATGACCCATCACAGATATAGGGGGACCCTCTTGATCTTCTCTTAAAATAACACTTATTCCCCCCACCCCTTCCAAGACACCCTATTRAGAGACCCCTGGGACCCAAGGATAAGCTGGTCTGGGACAACAGCTGCCCAGGAGGGGAGCAGGTGACGAGGGCGGTTGAGGCCCAGTGTGCCAGGCCCTGTGCTAGACGTCTCACACCCAATGTCATCTTCAAGCCTCACAACAATCCTGTGAGGTAGGTCCTATCATTTCATTCATTTTAGAGATGAGGAACCTCAGGAAACAACATATCACATCCCACTATGGAGGTAAGGAAAATCCACACTTCCTCTAGTCACTGCAAGGCAGGCATTTTAAGAATGCAATATCTATTTTGATAAAATAGATATTGATAAAATTGATAAAAATCTTACAAAATGGGGATTCTTATCTCATGTGAATGTGTATTTTTTTCCCCGGTTCTGGGGATTGAACCCAGGGGCACTTTACCACTGAGCTACAAACCCACTCCTTTTATTTTTTATTTTGAGACAGGGTCTTGCTAAGTGGCTGAGGCTGGCCTTGAACTTGTGATCCTCCTGCCTAGGCCACCAAGACTCTGGGATGACAGGCATGTGCCACTGCACCCGGCTGTGGCTGTGTATTTTAAGCCAAAGCCAACGTTACTCTTCAGTGGCAATGCAGAGTATGGAAGCAGCCGCTCACATGTGGACAGAACTAAGGCTACGCAGCTGACCCTGGCCAGACTGGCCCTGCCCCTTCCCCTTCCTTTCTTAATGCTGCGCCTTCTGTTTGCCTTTTCCTGAATTTGGAATGTTCTCCCCTTTTTATTTTAAGCAGTGGAGCATCCCGAGATCCTTTTAGACTCAGCTCATGCACTGGGGACACTATGACCTACACTGGCCCCCAGTGTGGACTCACGTACTCTCTTGTTCTGACACTCCTGGAACCTCTGCTGGGCACAGCACTTCTTACCTCGCGTCCTCATTTCTACTCGTGTACTGTCAGCTCACAGGCAAGCTGCACACATTTTAAGGGAAATGTTCTGGTCCCCCTCAGTACTACTGGTTGGTTTTTGACCCCATGAGGACTCATGGCACCATCTGGCTGCACAGGGATGGACACACCAGGCGTGGGAGGAACTGGGCATGGTGAGAGGTGGGCGGGTCCTTCTTGGATGGGGCTCACTAGGCGGTGAAGTATTTCTGGATGCAGGCACCAGACACCCTGGTATCTCTTAGCTTCTCTTAGGTTGGAGATGGTGTTTCTCATCCATAAACAGAGGAAGGACTGGGTTGGGGGGGTGCTGAAAGGAGGAGGGGGATGAGGGCGGAGGATGGGGTCCTGCTCCTGGGTGAGGGGGTTGAAATTCCCAGGAGAAGGGCCTGCTCAGTGGAGTACAGATGGGGCTGTTCAAGAGGGACCCAGAGCTGGGCATGGGTGGACATCCCTCTTCCAACCCAAGCAAATGACCAGGCAGCACTGGGAGAATGTGGGGGTGGGCATCTTCAGCCTGTTCCTGACATGAACAGGGGACTTCTTTTGAGGGGCAATAGCAGCCATGACATTTCTTTTGGTGGGTTTGTGGAAGAGGAAAAGCGGGGCAGAGACTGTGGGTGAGGCTGTGGGGCGTGGCCATTGGCAGACCAGCCTGGGCCCACAGGACCCTCGCCGTCCCCGAAATCGCCTGACGTGCTCTGAAGAAGGGGTTGGGGTCCTGTGATCACCTGGAGGAGATCATGAGTCACAGTCAGTTTTTATCACTAAATTCCAGAGGAAACTCCTGTGCAGGACAAGAAACTGAAGGCCCGTCTATGGTGAGGCCTAGAAGGTGGTAAAAGGCCACCCAGAGCGTTTATTCACAAAGCTCCCGTAGGGCGTGGACGTTAGGAAGGGCCGGGAGGGATTGTGCTCTGAGGAAGGCAGGGCTTCTATGGAGAAGAGAAGAGTGAGATGACTTTGGAGCAGTTTCCAGAAGGAAGGCAATGGCACCTCTCTGTGCAGATGGGTGGGTATCCCAGGGAACAGGCCTGGTCAGAAAGGGCCCCTGCCTCCCAAAGCCCAAGAGAAGGCAAGTGGAGGGCAGGACGTTCCTTCTGGCCCATAATTCCAGATGTCGCAGGTGATTGCTAACAAGGGACAGAGCCTGGCTCTGGGAAGTGTTTCCCAGGCTCTAGCCGCGCACGCGCTCGGGAACCTGTAGAAGGTGAGGTGGCTTGGGAGTCCTCTCCCTGACATGGCCTGGCAGTGCTGAGGCAGAAGGACATCGAAGATGCGTCTGTGGCACAGCCCCAGACGACGCCAGCAAGCAAAGCTGCCCGGACACACGGCACAGGAGCAGGTCTGAGTGCCCACCTGGGTCTGAGTCCCTGGTGGACAGAGAAGGAGAGAGATGAGGGATGCACCTGCCCTGGGAAGGCCGGGGGAGAACCTGGAGTACAGCTCTAGAAGGCCCACAACAGACACGCTGTTCGTTCGTGGCCACGGCAGGCTTCCCAGGGAAACCCGAGAGCTTTCCAAGGCATCATCAAGGACGTGGGACTGGACCGCCCAAGGAAAGCAGCCCTCCCACAGCACAAGCCCTTCCCAAGCAGGAGGGGAGACTAGCTACGTGGGAGGGTGTCTGGGTTCCAGAGCCGTCTACCTGGGAAAAATAAAATCCTGACCATGCCGCTGCTTACACCTGTGTGGTGTGCTAGACCTTCCCCTCACTGGTCATCTCAGCTAACTGTCACAAACATCCTGTGAAGTGGCATCTTGTTAGTATCATGTTATAAATAAGGAAACTGAGGCTCAAAGGATATAAGGATGTGCTACTATAGCAAGTAGATCGTAGAACCGAACTTTGACTCCAGGTGGATAACTGGTTTTCTTTTCTTCTTCTTTTTCTTCTTCTTTTTTTGCAGCACTGGGGATGGAGGGAATTGCTAACTTCTAAAGTCAGCAAAAACTATTGCCCTGGCACTGACAAAAATGACCCAGCAGGTGACTGAGCCCTCCATGAGGCTGCACGGAGCCTCCTGGAATCGGAGCTACTGTGCTCCATTTATCTGGGGGCTACTGATTCTTCCCTAAGACAACCACTGCTTTGGTTTATGGTCCTGGAAATTCTTTCCTCAAGGAAATCTCCCATTTTCTGTCTTCTGGGATGGCAACCAGCAGAACTCGGAGTTGGCGCCCTCTGCTGTTGGGTGAGAGGACTTGAGGCCTTTTCCTCTCCTCGCTATTTTGCAGGATTAAGGATTCTTCCAGGTCTGTGTAGCCACACTGGTCAACCAGAAAACTCAGCATCTTTCTAGCTTAGACCAAACTCCTCACATAATTTTCCTGAAGTGGGGGAAGGCATGGATTCTAAAGGCAAGACTTATCCTTTAAAAAAAGTTTTAAATTGAGGTGTATTTCCAAGACCACACAATTTAGCCTTTTAAGAGTGTTCAGTGGTTTGTGGCATTAAGTTGTAGGACCATCACCATTATTTAATTTTAGAACATTTTCATTTCCTGAAAAAAAAAAAAAACATACCCCACACGACATCATTCCTCATTTGCTAGTCCCCTCAAGTTTTTGGGAATAATTTGCCCATTCTGGGCATTTCATGTAAATGGAATCCGACAATGTGTGTGTGAGGGGGGGGGGGATCTGTTTCTTCCACTTAGCCCAAGTTTCATCCACATTGTGGCATGCATGAGAACATCGTGTCTTTTTTTTTTTTTTTTTTTTTTTGGCTGAAGAATATTCCACAATATTATATTGTGGTTATTTCACACCACATCTTGTTTATCCTCCTTTGGATGACGGACACTTGGATTGTCTTCACTTGTTGATTATTATAAATATTGATGCCCTGAACACCCATGTGTAAGCTTCTGTGTGGACGTGTTCTTAATCCTTGGACATACACCCAGGAGTGGGATCATACGGCTCCTTCACATTCCTCCGGGGAACTGCCAGACAGTTCTATAGCAGTGGCACCATTGACAATCCCTGTCCCCCGACCCCCTGCCCCACGTGTGAGAATTCCGATTTCTCCAGATCCTCAACCTCGATTGCTCACTATTGTCCCTCTTTTTGATGACAGCCACGCTACTGGAGGACTCTCACATTCTTGAGCTACACTACTTTGCCTATAGAAAGGCTTGGCTTTAGAAATTGACTCCCTTTATTTAAAGACCTCCATCCCCCATCTCCAACACTTCTTCCCACTTGGATTCAAAAGGGGGAAATTCCTTTGGAAGAAAGGTGTAGAGTGTCTGCTATAATCATTAGTGAGCTACCAATATGTCTTGCTTTGCCTCCTCAGTAAGCTGAATTCCCTCCTGGGGTAAGTTATAGGCACTCATTAAAAGATTTAGGAATGAAAAGTGAGAATTCTGGGGTATTCCACACAGACTGATCATTTAGAAAAGTAGACCAGGACTGGGCTGTAGCTCAGTATAGAACATGTGCCTAGCATGTGCAAAGGCTCTGGTTAAGCTCCAGTATTGCCAAAAAAAAAAAAAAAAAAAAACAACAAAAATGTTTTACTTTCTACAGATACCAGCTCTGAAGGTCATAATCCAGAAATGTTTGTGTCCATAGTTGATGCTCACAATATACACAATATGCAGTAGAGCACTCAAGACCATTGCCATATGTCAAGGATGGACTCTAAGCTATAGAAGTCTTGTTGTCACAGTAACTTCTTGGATTTAGCACCCTCACTTGCATCTCTCATTTGCTACCCTCCCAGAAGAATGAACTGTGGCTGAAGGTCATGGTAATGACCCTGGCTCACGGCAGGTGCAAGAGAAGCCTAGAGAAGGGTGTTCTTCTTCCTGGGGAGACCACAAGGCCTCCTGGAATTGAAAGGTGGAGCTGTGGTTATGAATGAGGATTCTAGAGAAGAGAACAAGTTTTCCTCTCACTATTACAAGCGCCTGCTCCAGAGTGAGTTTGATTCCTATGAGTTTCCCTATGTACAGAATGGCCATGAGGTAGTGCCTCCTTCTAGGGCTGTCGGGTGAGCCGACAAACCTAGATCAAGCTGATGCTGGGCTTGCGCTGAGTGCGATATCAATGCAGTTAACCAGCGCCATCACGTTCGTCGTACAAGACAGCCCGCTTCCTGAACGCCACTGAACTTCCTCTCCACACCCACGCTGGCTCAGACTCTTTGTGACTAGGCGAGAAGTCAGGAGCACTCTTCCTAGACAGCCACTCACTGTTGCAAAGTATTTTTTACCTTGAGCAGAAATCTGTCTGCCTCTAGCGTCTCCCATGGGTAATGTTGCCATTTTAGCAAATAAAAATGTAACAGGAGGTCCATGATTTGGGGAAACACATATAAAAAATTCTCTGCTGTTTGTTGAAATTAAAATTTAGCTGGGAATCTTATATATTGTCTGGGCCTCTCCATGGCCCTTAGTCAGACTTCTGGGGACAACACAGAAAGACTGTTCACATSTTGCTCTGACAAATGCGTCCTCCAACATCCTCATTCCCCTGCCTCCTCTCACCCTCCATCACCTGGACTATCTTCTTTGGACTAGTTTGTTAGTCATCTTTTATAGTTCCCAGGCACGGCCTGATGAAGACAGCAGATCAGTATGATTACCTCCCTTGTTATAAACCATATACTTCTCTAAATGTACCTTTGGCTCGAATTTTTTTGCACTCACACTGTACTGCTGACTCCTAACGAGCTAGTATTACTCTAAAGCCAAATTATATGTGTGCATGACTGTCTCCAGCGAGACTCATGATGGTGAGAAATGACAAAATTCAGGAATCTTGGTCTCTTACGTTAAAAAAAAAAAATCTTGTACCCTCCACAAGCACASTTCCAGAACACATTCGCCACGTACCCCTCCCTACAAGAACCAGCCYGGAAACCCCATCCACAGGAAGGCTAGAACTGCTGAAGTTAGAAGTCTGCCCACCTTTCTTAGGTGAAGGAGCTGCTTTTCTGTTGGTGTGGGGGGATGACAGGCATTCAGACGATGGATGAGCTTCCGGTTCTGGGAGGGCCTGGGACGCGGATTGCTTTGGGCTGCCCTCGGGGCTCAACTGCTTCTGAGGGCTGGATTGCTGTGTGGTGCACTTGGATGGTTGCGTTGTGGACTGGGGGCTGGGATGGGTGCTCTCAGAGCTGGGCTGCTGGGAGGTGCTAGAGTCGGAGCTGCCCCGTGGAGAGATGGACGAGTCCCGGGGTGGTCTGGCCTCGGACTTTTTCTTCTTGCTCTTCTTCATGGTGTTTCTTCTTAACCTAAACTTGAACCTACATGGAGCTGCCTAATCTTTGGGCTCCCTCTTAGAGGGGCCGTCTGCCCCTGCCCTCTGCCCYAGGTGTTCAGCCCTGGTCTCTGACTGAACCCAGGTCCCAGAGAACAGTCACTTATACCCCCTGTGAGGTCACAAAAGCCAGGGTGGCTCCCACAGCCAGGGCTCCGGGACAGTCTTCTGTGCAGGCACCAACCTGGTATCCCTGTTCCTCCCAGCTGCCAGGATAGGCAGAGGGCTGCTTCTGCTCTGCCCCTGCAGGCCTGGTTTAGCCTGGGGACCTGTGACAACTGGACCCCACGATTCTGCGGCCACAACACCACCTTCAGGCTCTTCATCACGGGTGTGTTCCTTGGTCCAAGTGACCTATCTCTTTCGCTCTAAGACACCCTTGATGGGACACTCAGCTTTATCACCCATTTCCACATACAAAAGCAGAGACACAAACATCCATCTTCACTCTGCCTTTAGTAAGCTCCGTGTAACTTTTCTGAAGATTTGGGGCTTCTTTGAGCACTTGACCTTCCACAGCCCACAGCCTCTATCATTTCGGATTAGCTTCCCCAGCCTCCAAAGCCTGCTCTCCTCCATTGTGGGAGGGGAGCTTGTGGGCTGTTCCAACTTTTAAAAGAAGCTTTGAATTTTTGAAAAATTCTCTCTTAAAACCTATCTGCTGCTCAGAACACAAACATTTTTCTCAAACTCATTACAGTGGCAAAACCTGAGGGGTTATTCCCAAACCCGCATTGGTTGGGTCAACAGACTATGATCTTCATCTACATTAACGTGATTTTCATTTTAGGACAGAAGAGGGAAAAGCATTTTGAATCRACAAGCTCAGTTTTCACACTTTGCAACGCGAGTCACGTTCACAGAGGGCACAGAACTTGCTGCAGGACGCATTGATCCGCAGGTGAGAAAACCAGGCCTACCCCAGCCTGTAGCCCCCCRGGGAGGATGCTCGTGCTCACCACAAGGTTTGCTCAGAGCTAGTTAGACACAAAGGATTCAAAGGGGTCCAAGGCCAGACCCAAGCCAACTGTAAAACTACAGAACCTGTTCTAGGGCTTCCAGAGCCTGCAAAGACTTTAATGGTTATCTTTTTGAAGAAGAGGACATTGATGTTTAGAGAAGTTAAATTACTTTTGAAGATCGATTGGAGGCATGGACAGGGCTAATTTTAGTTCAGGGTTCTGTCTTTTCATGACCCAAGAAGGCAATATGGAATCAGATAATTACATAAGCTTTAAAATCAACGAAYTAAAAAACTAAAAACATTTGCAAATTCCTTGAATGAGAAGATTTAAGAAACCAAACACAAGCATGAATGATGAGGAATGGAGGGAAGCTCAGATCAATAGTGTTTGCTGTATTTGGTTGACGCTGGAGTAAGGAGGGAGCAGGGGAATCCACAAGACAGCAGTGATTCCCTGAAGTCAGGAGCAATAGTTCTCTTTAGGGGATTCCATTTAGAACCAGAGAGGTTGGGGACCCAGCCCGGGGACCCCACTAGGATTAGCATACAGGTCAGGAAATCCCAAGGGATTTAATTCTACAAAATTGGATTTTCAGGCACCAGTGGGCTTGGATTGTGGGCCAGTTGAAATCAGGGTTTCTCAACTTGGCTTTACTGACATTTTGGGCTGAATAATTCCTTGTGTGGGAGGCTTTCTTGAGCATTGCAGGAAGTTTAACAGCATCTCTGGTCTTGACCCACTAGCACCTCCCTTTGCCCATGACAACCCCAAATGTCTCCAGACATTGATAAATGTCCCTACCAGTAATCGGGAGTGTCAACAATTGTCCCTGGTTGAGAATAATTAGTTTAAATGAGTCAGATGGGGGTAGATACACACAGGTAGAATTTTCTGGTAGCCGTGAAGGAGATACTCCATTTCATCCAAAGAAGTCAAACAGGACACACGTCTCTGTTCCCAGGAGGGAGATGGAGGAAACACAAAGGGCAAGCTAAGGAGTGTGTCTRTGGCTATGGAGAAAAAAAAAATGTGTGGGTTCTTTACTACGGTGGTCCCCAGGAGCAGGGAGAGGCAGTCATAGGATGAGAGCTGTTCCAGAAGAATGCACAAGAATAGCACAGCAATGGGTCCTGGCCAGGACACTGTCTCTGCCTGAGCACACGTTCCCTGCCGGGGAGCCTGGCTCCTCTATAATATGGCCACAGCCTACTGTCCCACACCTGGTGCCACCATGCTGCTGCCTCTAGCCAGCTGGGAGGAGGTCTGGTGAACACGCCTAACTTTCCCACATTTGTAGAAGTACTTTCCCTCCACCACCTCCTCCCATCTCTGTCATACTTTCCGTGGCCAAGATCCCCCTCAAGGGGATCCAGCTCTTCATAAAACCTTTCTGGAGATCCCCAGCAGAAAGCCATGGTTTCTTCTCTGAGCCCCAGAGTACCTGTTTGTGTGTCACATCCTGCATGGGTTAGGATTATGTCTTGCCTTGTCTCCTTTCTTGTTCCCCAGCCCCTGACTGTGGACATCAAGGAGGGTCAAAGCCAGCAGGAGCTCAATGCAAGCTGCTTAAATTGAACTAGGGGGAAGGTAGAGGACAGGGATGGGGACCAGGTGAAGGAAGGGTGGGAAATGAGGACAAGGAGCCTGAAAGACTTTCATCACTATGGGCTATTTCCAAAGACAGACCAGGTATTTCTGACCTTGGCCGAGGGTCACAGTTGGGAGAGCCAATAGGTAGGGGGCTTTCCCAACCACCAGTGCGGGCCATGTGAGACTCTCCTAGGCTAAACTTAAAGGGAGTGAGAGGAACGAGTCTAAGCGGATGTGAAGTTAGGTACCAGGGCAAGAACTGAGGTTGTTAAAATCCCATCCACCCAGAAGGCCTCTTGGATGTGTCCTGGGCTCTCAGGCAAAACATGCCACCATTTGTCCTGAAACTCTTCAGGCTAGATGACATCTCAGAAAACAACTGGCCTATCACCCTCACATGTCACATAGGAGGGGAACCTTCCACAAAGAAGGCACCCACCCTACCCAGAGAGCTTCCCTAGTCCCTTCTGCTTCCCTAAAGAGTCCACTAACTAGTCCTCAGGCTGCGGATTAGCCTGGGGGCCACAGGCCCAGCTCCCTTGCTCAGAAAGGTCTGGAGGGTTGCCAGGAAGAAGGTCAGCTAGCACTGGAGTTCCATCCTGGAGGGARGCTGTGAGGATTGGAAGTGCAAAGCTCTCGAACAGAGCCATGTTTTTATTGTAATTGTTATTCCATGGAGGAGGAGACTAAAGAWCCCCATCAAAGAACAGAGGAAGCAATCAGTGCTTGTGGAGAGGAAGGGTGGGCTGTCGGTCCTACAAATCCCCAGCGTGAACCTTACAAAACCGTAACTGCCAGTAGTGGGAAACGATGCCCCAAGCTGTGGGAAGGGCCAGTGTAGCCCACTAAATTAATTCAAACGCTTTTAGATTGCCTCAGCGAAGACAACCTGGGGGTAAGAACTCTGGTTCATCACTCAAAACCGTACCCAAAATTGCTAGAGGCGCCATAAGAAGAGCTGTGAAGTCGGGGTTTGTCCAAACTCAGCGGGGCACCAGGGTCAGGGGACCGAACTCTGTATTTGAGGGCCCCAGCCCCCCATCCCTGCACCCGCGGCAACCGGATGTTCCCAGCCCTCGGGCCCCTCACCATCCATCTGCGTCCCCCGATCCGCTAAGGGAACCTTGCGCACTTGGCTGGCGGCGCGCTGGACGTCCAGGACGCCCTGGGGGCGGCCGGGGCAGAACACTGCCGTGTGCACCTCGACGGCGGGGTTGTGCTGCGCGAAGATGCCGCAGAGCAGGTTCTCCAGGAGGCAGCGCGCCTCCGCCTCCTCGTCCGGCTGCGGCTGTACCAGGATCCCGATGAGCGCGGCGGGTGGGCGGGAGTCCCGGGCGCGCACCTGCTCCAGGACYAGCTGCAGCCGCGGAAGCTGCGTGCACAGCGCCGACGCGCGGCACAGCACCAGGAGCAGCTGCGCGCCCTGCTCCGGCGCTGTCCGGGGCTGCCCCACCGCCCRGCAGCTCGTGGCCGGGTTCTCCGCAGCCGCGGGGCCGGGGGTCCTAGGACTGGTCCCAGGCGTCTCGGGCTCGCGTGGGTCGGCGTACTTGCAACGGCTTCTCCCCGCCTTCTCCGCGGAGCGCTTGGACTTTGCGGCCGGGTAGTCGGTGTTGTTCTCGGAGTTGTCCGTAGAGCTGTCGCCGGAGCGCTTAAGTCCCCTCCTGGTGCAGTTACTGGTGCTGTGGCCTGTGGTGGCTCGTGTGGACGAGGACCTGGTGGGCTGATGGGTTGAGGCCTGCTCTGGAAAGTTCTGCAGATCCTTGCAGCCATCGTCCTGCTTCCAGAGCTCTCTTACCAGCAGCACCCGGCCGCGGCCCTCGATAGACTGGGCTAGAATCTCCTGCTGCGCCTCAGAGCTTTCCCGGGTCACGGAAGGCTGCGCCCTGGGCCGCTGCTCCATGTTGGTCCGGCGGCTCCCTTGCCCCCAATGGGCTTGGACCTCGGTTGGCCAAGGGAAAAGCTGAGCATGTCACAATACCCCTGCGCCTTACCTCTTCCTGTCATGGTCAAGGGCCTCCGCCCCCTTGTTCCTCGGAAATCTTCCAACACAGGGGAGTTGCTGTTGGATGCTAGTGTAACGCAAACTCTGTTTAATTTCTCCATCATTCTGTATGTGTGTAGTTTTAAAAGGTACATCCTTTTATCCCGTGGATAGGCCTTTTATTGCTCAAGCCTTCAAGTAAAACGGATTTTTGTGCACCTGTGGTGTTTAAAAAAGGTGTACTTTCTGTTCCTGGAACTTATGGAAGGCCCTTGAGGAACAGAGTGGCCATTCTGGATGGCTGCAGCCTGGCAGACAGGTCTGGTTGCACCCAGCCTGGCTCCTCTCTGGGTGATCTGGGAACCAGCGTCCTGGACGATTTATTATAAACCCATGGGGTGGCAGGACATTTGGGTCCTTTC